GGAGTACATATACTCTTACTTCCTTGATTCTACACCTTTATAACAAGAATATATATAATTTACTGTCGATTTTTTTTCAAAAAGCACAATTAATTGGCTTCAAAACCATACAAAAACTATTGTCATTCACCTAGTACACATGGGCAGGAAAGATTTTTGAAAAAAAAAGACTTTTCATATGTTTACTAGTAAAATAATACGAAATCCGGTAATTTATTGTAGGGTAGTGTAGATTAATCGGTAGTCGGATTGGAGTTTTGCGTTCTTTATTTGTTTACACAATCGGTAGTCGGATTGGGGGGGGTAACAATTAATTATTATAGATGCCACTCGAATAATCACGGGTCAAGTAGCGATTATTCTTATCCGATATACCGAATGAATTCAGGAAATAAGATATCAAATGTATAAAGAATTAAACACTGCGGAACACACTGACACTAGCTGAAACCTGCACTGCGGGGCTGAAGCTGAAATGCTTGTGAGCCTGGAATTGATCACGTAATTAGTATGGGGTAGCTAAAATCTATCATGTATGTAATGTTGTACACTGCGCATGATAACAAAAACATTTGACATGCTGTTAACTATTTCAAGAAAACGTCTTTTTCTACCTCGTACTCAGTGTCAACCCCACGGGATCTTTGCACAACACACAATTTAACCATGTCAATTCAAACCATAATAGTCAGCTCAAGGAACATCTATTTATGTAAGAAGTAAACCCGACATGATAAATATCAACCATTACTATTATATATGCAACTGTGGTATAACTTTGCAAGCCTAATCCAAAATTTGCACAAGCTGGATCTTAAGAATAACAAAAATTTTCAAATGTACCACTGTACAATATTTTCATTTAAATATAGGAAAAAAGCTAAGGTATCAGGGAGAAGATTTCATACATGCTATACTTGATTGGCTGCAGCTCAAATCTAGAGAATAGAGTCAACACTATTATATCAAATTAAAATGTCTATGACCAATTCATCATCAGTAATAGAACCAGTATCATCATTTTCATGATGCCATTTTTCATTTGAATCCCAAGATCTTTTTTGTAACCTCAGTTCTTCTGCTATTTCAAATTGCTCAAAGACTGTATCATTAAATGTAGGTGATGTCATGTCATTCATCTCTATGAATAATAATAATGCATAAAGTACTTCTTCAGTTGTTGGTCTGTCTTTGGGATCAGGAGCCCAGCAATGTGTCATTAAGTTCCTATAGCAATCTGGTGTGCCTTCTACAGGCACAGGTCTCAAGTGATCTTGAATAATCTGTTCAAAGAGTGATACATCATCATCTCTATACTCAATAAAGGCTGGTTGTCCTGAAGAAAATTCCCACATGACTATACCAAAGGCATATATGTCAGATGCTGTTGATTTTGGTTGACCTTGAAGTATTTCTGGTGCCATATATGAGAGGACTCCACCAGCTGTACCTTTTACCTTTTCATCAATAGAGCCAAAATCAAAAATGTGCAATTCATAATTCTGATGCTCATCAAGAGTCCACAACACATTTCCACTGTGAAAATTTTTATGGACAACACCTGCTTTATGCATAGTTTGTAAATCTCTCATCAAAGTTGACAGCTGCTTTATTCTTTTATTCCATGTAAACTCTGCAGGATTCTCCATCAAAAGCCCTGTCAAGTTACTGCAAATGCCAAGATGATTCTGTGCATGGACAAGCCCTTGTTTAGCTGCTTTCTGATACAGCTCAACTGCTTTTTGGATATTCTTTTCTACTCCTGTTCCTTTCTCATAACAAACACCAAGATAATTCTGTGCATGGACATGCCCTTGTTCAGCTGCTTTCTGATACAGCTCAACTGCTATTTGATTATTCTTTTCCACTCCTGTCCCATGCCTATAACAAAGACCAAGATTACATTGTGCTGC